ATATTCATAGAGCCAAATAGAAGAACGATTACGTGTACTGCGATAATAAAATTTCAGGAGATAATTAATAGCAAATTCACCCCCGACGGCAACGAAATACGATGCACTAGGATGCAGATCGGACGTTTCATGGCCAGTAAATTTTTTACTTATTTCATCGAATATGCAAACACGGTGGCTTTCAAAGGCAGTACTATATTCACGCGATGACATATGTATTTCTGGTAAACGTTTCTCGCAGTCTTCCGGACGTGTGCGGTTACGCATATGATAATTAATTGGGCGTGATGGAAATTTCACGTCCTTTGTGACGCATAGACGATTATATGAGATGTATCGTGCAACGCCTCTTATTAATATCGAAAAAATGATACGATCGAAATAAATTTTTAAGTATATGCCATTGTTTGAAAATAAAATGGTTAATTTTAAAAGGAGGTCACCGCTCGCGTTTTATGGAACAATTAGTATTCCATTACTTATATCTCTCTCGGGGAATTAAAAATGTTTCCGTTGTGAATGGAGAATGACAAATCGAGCTTGTGCGTGCAATTATTCAGGTTGAAGTTAATTATGCGCTATTTCGTGAATTAATTCGCTCGTGTCAGGAACAATTAGCATAATTAGAAGAAGACCTTCGATGACCTATTTTTGGAAAGATTTCTCTCCGGCAGGCGTTGTAACACACTAGCGAATAATGGCTTCGTATCTGGGTCATGGCTTTAAAGCTGATATCGTTACGTTCAGGTTACTGCAACTTTAAATTATGAAGGTTATTATTACAGAGATTGTGTATAAAATAGATTGCAGAATTTATTCTTCCAGTCCACTAGTGATTATGGTCACTTAAATTATGCAAACTTGATAACTTTCAACGCACGAGAGTGCAACGTTTTATTTTTTATTTTATTTAATAAATAGTTACAAATAATTAATTTATAAATAATTGAGTAACAAAGTTGTCGTCTCTCGTAAAAAAATTTTATGCAGTGCAAATTGTTTTGAAAGCAAACTATATAAATATTGTAAATAATCAGTCTTTAAATCTCCATTTTTAAATCTTTGCGAATCAGTTATATAAACTTTGATATTTTTGTTTAAAACGTATTATATATTATGTAAAATGATTATGTCATTGGCAGGCCGAATATTTAATGAAACTATATTTTTGGTCCCAGATAAAAACAAAAACTTTTAAAAGTAATTAGTCTTAATTGATATCCATCGTGACACGAGCAAAAATCTCTTTTAATCGTCAGAAAATTTATTTTATATAATATAATTTTTTGCTTGCTTCAAAAAAAACTTTTTGCAAGAATGTAATATATTATGTTTTAATTAGCATTTTGGAGTACTTTATAATATTGTACAAAAAGGATAAAAAGGAATGGGGTATAAAAAATTTTCGGGTATATAGAAATAAGAGAAATCGTAAAATCGTGACCTCCTTTTCGATAGAAAACTTGTATTGCTTCTTTCTGATTAAACACAAGATTATGTTAAACCAAATGTATATTTGCATGACATGCGTTGCATGCGTTGCTTTCCATCGTCTGACTAATTCGTAACGCTATCACTTACAACGTAGCACGATAAACCTTATCTTCCTGCAGAATATCCGATCAGTACGAAACTCGTATACCATACGGTTTTCAAAGATAATAGAATAAGAATAAAATTGAAATTTGTTCCATATAGATATACATAATGCAAAATCATTTTTTCCATAAGTTTTTTTTTTAAATTTGATAATATTATACATCGCGCCTAAAATCTTCCTGTGTCTCGCATTCTTCGATTATATACGCGTTAATTCGTATACGCATTATAAATAATTGAGAGAGTATTTGGCGGTATTTCCGGTTAGCTGATATCAGCACGCTACGTTTCTCTTTTCGTTGATTCTTCTTAAAATTTTATGTCACCTTTTTTTTACTCTGTTCTGAATGAATCTTGTTTTTCGAGAGAATATACGCGATTCTATCGTGATTTTCCTGAAGGTCTATGCTTATGGAGTAGTAAAACGACAAGATGCGAACTTCCGCTCGCAGTAATTAATCGATCGATATACATAGTACGAAAAAGCAATCGTAAAATTGCACGCGACAACGTAAAAGCTATACAAAGTAATTCTTGTCTTATATTATTTATTTATTATTTAAAGATTTCTTTTTAATCAGCAATTTTTTTGAGAGAGAACCTCTCACGTCCTTTTTGAAAATTTATTTCTGTCAACTGTGTCTCATATATTAGTCAGAAGTAGCGATCTTTTCGGAGTTTGTGCGACGTTTGTGCATTTTTTATCGATGCAGGATACAGGTAACATATAGGACGACAGGTCATGTGTTGTACTAAAAGTCCTACGAGTCGAAGTTGTAAATGTCAAAATTTTATCGCTTGTGTGACATAACAGACTAGTTATAAAATACAACTGATAATTTCGATAACGCTGCGACCTCACTATCGATCGCACCTTCGAACTCTTTAAAAGGCTGTTTCTTTTCCTGTGACTGCTATATTTATAATTTCCTCGAGTCGTAATCATATACTGGGAATCTCCACTAATTAATTAATGCTAAAGCGAAAAATATATACGATTAAAGCTCGCTGATTGCATCGGCTCTGAATTTACTGATTAAAATTGAACGCTCGGATGATAATATGAAGAGTCGTAGAAGGAAAACTGGAAATACGTATGCGAGTTAAAAATAATTGAAACGATAGAACACACGTGCTCGTTTGAACATGCGAGCGGAAGTACACATGCAACATCATTATTCGATACAAATAGATAAATAATCGATTATGTACAAGTATGAACAAGCCGCAGCGATGATGTTGGTGTGCTTTCGTATATACGCGTGTATTCAAGATGAACCGCCACATTCGGCCGTTCCATTTTATTCCGTCTCGCTAAACTTCCCCCTCGGGTTTCAATTTTCGTAACACGTTGTCACGTTACCTTGAAAGTATAGCGGGAGGAAGGAAATGGTGGCTCCTCTCGAATATTGATCCGCTAGAGAATGTTTCTCTCGCGCTCGCCCGGCGTTAACAATAATGTCGGAGCACAGCTCCGAGGAAAACAGCATTTATATATTATCACATAATTTCAGGCTACTGATTAATCTACATATTATTCGCTCCTTCAGCAGCGAGATCGCTAAAGTGAATAATTAAGTCGCCTAAAGTTCGGCTATCGCTTTAAACTTGGTCAGTATCTCTAGCTGAAATTTTTTCTTCCCGGCTGAGGCTACACCTCGATGTGCTAAGCTCGCCGTGCAACTACGTTTTCATTCGTTTCTCAGCCAATCCACAAGTCAGTGAAATTTTCCGTCTCGCAATCGCGCAAAATAATCTTCTCGATTGTCTACATCTCAAATTGCAATTGCATTTTTTTGCTGGACATCGAGGCGCGGCTTAAGCGCAAATGCAGACGTCCGAAAGAGGTCTACGGCCATGATAGAGGAGATCTTCGCAATTTTATCTTATGATAAAACTCTCTATGAACGCGTGTAACTTTTACTTCGACTACAGGCGACATGTAATCGACTATTTTTTTTTCTTTTGGCAGTAAACAATAGGTGGTAACGAGACTTCGAAGTTTTTCTTTTCTCGCGTCACCACGGCCGCAATAATAGCGCGTCACGTTTGCATTAAGTATCTAGTATCTTCCTCGATCGACGTCTTAATTTATATCTAGTAACGATAACGATGCGACATTGCGAGCGCGTCGACCATTTCCGGAATTATCTATTATTTTTTACAGACAATCTCGTGTGAGTCATGTCACCCGCGTTTAAAAAGAAAAAGGAAAAAAGGAACACGAGAGAGAGAGAGACGAGACGGAAGGCTCTCGCTCGGCTTCTGTAGAATCACTTGTGTCTACTCTATTATCAAGAAGAACTAACGTAGTTAGTGCTAGCACGTTTGCGCGCGACGCTCGATGCCTCGGATTTCTGTGAACGAGGTGTTTCTTAATCAAGATGTGGATCGATCGGATCGACGTAGCGCCTTGACGAATTGATCGACAGCTATGAAAATTCATTCTCTGCTCTATACGAACACTATTTCGCACAATAATGCTCGATATCGTGTGTGAGATATCAAATATATATTGTGTGTATATATATATATATATTTATATATGAAGACTTTATGTATATCTGTTAATTGGATAAAATATGGCTTTGAGATAATTTTTCGCCGGTTAATCTTAATGAAATCAAATGATATATATAGACCGGTTTCATTAATGTCAGTTAAAATTAATTTTGTTTAATTTAATTACGTTGCTACATTGAACCTTGCGGTGATCGAACCATTAAGGTATATGGTTAAGGTCAACCGATATTGATGAAACTGGTCCATAATAACTTACTAATCCGCTAACAACGCATTATCGATACTAAGCCCTGTTGTTTACTTATTACAGCATTAATTCCCGGGCATTACGCCAAATATATATAATCCTCTACTATATATGTTTACTCTCTTACTGCTGCGCTAACCGTCCAAGTTCTCGATCAAGGCGCAGCCGTCGTTCGATCGTCACTAAAAGCCATTCTACCATAATAGCGACATACTACTAGGATTTTTATTATTTATTGTCCTCGTTGAAGTAGTTCGCACTTTAATTCTGCGACTTATACTGTTCACTCTCATCTTTTTTTTGTTATCTCTCCTATATTTCAAGACGACTTTCGGGCAGTTTGATAAGGGATCGTGAAAACTTTCGCGTGGATGGGACGTGTAACGGTTCTACGAAAAGTAATAAGGCTTCGAACGCGCGAAGGTAACGAAAGGTATCAAAAATTCGACAACTTCCGGAATCCGCCGGCTATCGCGGCAGTGATTGTTTCGATGTCTGCTGTAGTTTCCGGCCGAGAATTTAATCTGCTGCGTCGCGCATTTGTAGATTTCACGCGTTCGCGACAAACTGGCCGTTTCAGACAAATATATTTCAGATATATTTAAATCTTTATTAAAAATTTATATATATAAATATGTTTATATAAAATGATTCAGTCTTTTAAAATGAGAAAATTGATGAACTGGCAGTATATTGTTAGAAATTATTAAATAGAGCCAGACGGTTGCTGCTGCAACGTTGTTGATCAATGAAAAGTTACAGCAAACACGCTGGATTAATCCGCCGTTACACGTTTTTCTTTCGCACTTCTGGTTCCGACATATCATTTGGATTTATAATCCTATAAGAACATTTCATTCACTGCTCTACACTAAATATTCTCGACACTTGCTATTAATCAGATCGTCCGACTCTCTCAACCCCTCTCTCTTTCTCGACCGTCATTATTTCTCCCGAATTTGAAACCAGACCCACCTCTTTCGACCAGAACATCCGATCGAGAACGAAAGCCATTTGTTCGGTAAAAAAAAAGAGGAAAAAAAAAGAAGAAGGCGCTCTCCCACTCGCCCGAGTCATCGAGCATCGAACGCGTTTTCCGATCATAAGTGCGATTCTTCCATCTAACGTGCAACATATCTCTTGCACGCGACAGTTCTGCGCGTTACGCGGAGGTAGTTCCACGGATCCTCCGGCAGCGACGATGACAGCTGGCTCGTCTTCTTCAGGAGAATAGGACCGAGCAGAGTCTGGCCGCTGGTCTATGGAGGACCGCCGGAATCCGGATCGACGACGACGTGGACCACGGCGATCGTCACACGGTAGTGACCCGATCGACCTCGACGTAACGCACAGAACTGTCGCTGTGTCAGCATATCACTTCTTTGCCGTCGATTATCGCCGTCTCGGACGAGATGCTCTTCAGACGGTGCTGGGATATCGAGCGGCGGCCGCGCCGCCGACACATCCGCCAGATGATGAAGAAGGCGACCCCGAGGACGGTGATGACGACGAGGGCGCCCAGAGCAAGCTGCAGAGGTGGCAGCCGCAGCAGCACGGAGCAGTGCGTCAGAGCCTCGTCGTAACCGGAAGGACAGTGGGACACGCCGTCGCACCAAAGCGAGGCGTTTATGCAGGCGTCCAGCTCCGGACAACGCTGCTCGCAGTCCCGCGACATTTGCAGACCCGCCGTTGACGTCACTGACGGTCTGCGGGTCAGAGAGGATCGATAGAGTTATATTGTTCCGCTGCGTGTCGACGCGGCTCTCTCTCTAGACTCCCGTTCAATTGAGGGCAGGTGACGTCGAGCGGAAATTAATTAAGGTGTTTTCTAAAGAGAGAGGAGGGAGAGGGAGAGACATTCTTGAGTAGCTGCTACTTCCGCAATTTTGTATTATGTTTGAGGTAGATCAGGAAATTATTATTTGATTTCATGTATTTTTTTTATCAAAGCAGACTCTCCTCCATATATAATATTATTGAAATATTAATATTTTTTAATGTTGTGTAAACTTTTATATAAAAATTCTATACAGTTTTTACATTTACTTAGCGATATTTTTGCTCCGGAAAAATTAGATTATCAATAATTAAGATTGTCATTTCACGTAACATAAAATGTAAATAAAAATTGCGAGAGATACATTTTAAACTCTACATTTTATGTATAATTTCTGCAAGAGATTTTTATACAATTTCCAAGTGCAAATATACACATTGTGTGTATTTATTAAAGCAGTTTTCATTTCTGCGAAATGAATTATTCTTCGCGGAACAGATTGCGGAAGTTATAGATAAGTTACGGCGAAGTTTAATGAAGGGATCTTAAAAAGGAGATTGCGTTCGTGAAGACTCTGGACAAGTACGAGGTCTCTATTTTGCATTCGCTTTGTCGGGGATACTTTTAATTCGCATTCCCTCTTACTGAAAATATTGTTCTTACCTTCTGGTGAGCTCGAGCCACGTGACCGTGTAGGAAGCTGGTTCTTCCACGATAAACTCCACGGCGATGGTCCTGATCGGCTCCTGTCCTGGTGCGAGGATCATCGCGTTGCTGCTGACGGCCCAACCATCGCTGAAAACTTCCACCACGTGGTGCCTCGAGTCGGGAGATGGTTTAGGACAGACCGATACGTGAATCGAGCCGCCTGTATGCACGATGATGCGATTTTTCGTTGCGCACTTCGTGCTGTTCGACATAATTATGCCGTGCATTTTCACGTACAAATATTGACCCGGACCGGGATCTATTAGCCATGGCTGGTTCTCGCAATTTTTCTAAAAATCACAAAGGGACAAAAAAATATTGATATATGTTTGACGTAAATACGAAGAACTACGCAGAATGATTCACTAGAAAAATTTCGCGATTTAAAATATCTTTTCATTTTCATGATTTTTTATTCCAATTCTTTTTAGTTAAAGAAACCCGAGATTCTCGATATTTATATCTTTTCCCGCAAACGTTACCAGAAAATAATGTTATTATTAAATTTTATTCATATATACTGAGAATATGATGTGAGTCTGTTCGCAAACATAATTTATCTCGAACTTTTTTTCTTCGGAATAAGACTTAATCTTAGATGTTAGTTTTAGCGAGTATATATATATAAAGAAAGCACCTCTATGTTTACCTCATCCTCTTCAATTGGTGATGTATACTTAATTTCGCCAGATGGTCCCCTAACTCTGTGTTTCGGCCTGCATTCTGCATGCACCGTCTTGACAAACTCCCAGACGCCTTCAAAGAAGAGATTGTTGTAATCATCCAAAGCGTCCATAGATTGAACGGTGAAATGCACCTCGGCGATATTAGAAGTAGATTTGATATTGATGGGTAGCGATCGGTTCGAGCAAAGGCAATCGCGTTGAATGGGCGGTGCGTTTGGCCAAGGTAAATCGAGCACCTGGAAATAAGCAGCAAAAGAGAGATGCTTCTGTATTTATCCTTAGAATCCTACTTTCGATTTACAGCTTTTCAATTAAAGTGCCATATTAAACAATTTTTTTGTTATCATCAAACTTTTCGCAACGTTTCATCAAAATGGAAATTTGACATTGAATGCGAATCTCGAATTAAATCTCGATAAATTGAGTCAAGTCTCGAAACTATACGCGTTATTAGAGATTCAACTAATAATACAACTCGATGCAGTTTGAGGTCTGATTCATCGTTGGTATTGACTACGTGGAAACTACAAAGCCTGTCGATCTATCGTGTTTCGAATTCGAAGCTTACTGATACTTGCTATTGCATGGATAAAGTCACTATCCTTAATAATCAGATCAATGCTACCTGTTAGCACGTAACTTCCATTGTATCCAACTTGTAATTCACGTCGCTCATAATTTTCGAGTTTAGCCTTTTCGAGATATAACTTCTAACTCACAAATGGCAATTGTTTGAAAGATTTAATGTCATCCAAATTTCATCTTTTTTTTTCTCGTAAAAAAACTGTTCAATGAAAAATAATTATATACAATAATGTCGGAGTAAATCGGCGGATTTCGTGACATGTATCGATTGCAAAACTTTCACGGGAGGAGGAATTTGCCGTGAAACTTAATCCCGATCAGCAGAAGTTTCAATTACGCACCTTAACGGAGAAGTTCTCGGAGCCGACGCAGAGCAGCCTATTGAAATCGGTGCTGTTAACGCTGCGACAGGTGCGATTCCCATTGAGGAGCTTGTTGAACCTCAGCTTCACCATCTCGTCGTGTTCTCCTTCGAAGCGGTACACGCAGCTGCAAAACCCGTTCTGGCCTGCACTTTCAGCACTTAATCGAATCTACACGCCTCGCCGGCCAGGCAAAGGAGCCGGTTCAGTGATCGATACTGCAGGAAGATTACGAGGAGCATCGAAGGTTGGACGCTCGTTAATCGGAAAGCGACTCGCAAAGTGATTCTAAGGGTGTATCATGGTAGCGTGCGACCACCATTACCGAGTTTCTGGTCTCTCTTTTTGGACACTGTAGTTCAATTATTTTCGCCAGAGAACGTTTTTGCCTTTCAGTATCCGGTCGGGAGTAAATTCCTCCTTGGCGAATGTAAATACCAATTTTCACTAAATCGAATTAGATTGTTTTTTGCTAAATTTAATTAAATTGATTTTTCAAGAGATTATATAGGATTGGTGTTCATCTGACCAATCGATATACATGAAAAAAGTATGTAGTTTAACGTGGGAATACTAATTTCAAAGATTTTTTAACTTATATTACCTCGTATTATTACATTCTATATTGATGAATTTTGCAGGCAAGATTGTTTACTTATCTCGAAGGAGAGAAGATGTAGGAGAGTATATTTCTAGAATATTACATAATAAAATACTCTTTTTTCTCTATGCATTTCTGCTGAGTGTTGCAGCAGCAATTCTTACTCGTGGAAAGATCTCCGTCTAACGGCGCAAAGCTCATTTTACGATTGTCGTAAAGTCTAACTGATATTTTATCGAGGTTGTGGAAGATTCGATCCTGCGGACAGTAATAAAAGAACGGCGCGAGCGATAGGACTAGTACGAAAGTCGTATCAAAAGACGGAATGTGTGTGCTCGTTCTCCGTGTAGAGGAGCGCACTTTTCGCTACTTTATCACAGATATCTAAACTCTGCGAGTCGTACGATAGCTATAAAGACTTGGCGAAAAGATGTCTAGGATCTGGAGTAATAAATTGATACAGATCATGATAAGCCTTCTTTATGAAAATACTATCTGGGATGAATCATCGGAAACAGAAGCAAGAGCCGATATTTAAGTCCTTTATTTCCGATGATGGATTTATCGTAAAATACTACGCCTAAATATTGCTTCATGTCGAGGCTTTTTATCGAGGATATTTGTGAATAAAAAAAAAATACGTATCAATATATCGGTAATACGTCTCGTACGCGATTGGTGGATTTATCGATAACGAATAAGTGCGAGCGATAAAAAAACTTTGACGGATATTACGACGTACATTTTGAATCGCATTAGCGTGCGAATGCGATTTTAATCTCATCTCCATTTATGCGCAATACGTCATCTGTAAATCGCTTAATCGCGAAAAAAAGATAGCAAAAAAAACAATATTAAATTTTACAACGAGACGACTTACGATGTATAACAGCCAACATTGTTAATAACAAGTCGCCATGAATTGACGAATGGTAACGAGTTAACGACATCATTATCGCATCGTTATATCGTTATATTAGCCGTCGCGATGGTATTCCGAACCGATACTGGGTCCCCATCGTAGACCATTGAGAGACTGTCATAATGTCAAACTGTCAACCGCGCCACTCTATCGGCGAACGAACAATTACGGATAAATGATAATGTGTCTATAGAACGAAGTTGTTGTCTGAGATTATATATATATATATACTATAAATTTCGTCATAAATTTCAAGACGCGAACTCACGTTTAGCAAGTTTAATCGGGAGTGGACAGTGACGCATATTTTCGGTAAACAAATTCGAGCGGAATATATTTTTCCCGATACTCGAAGGATGCATTTAATTCGCTATCGTATATAACAGCAATATATAAATAATGGGCGTCGTATTCTTACCTTATATTCTTTGATCCGCCACGGCCGTACAGGAATATATCGCGCGGTCCACGGAATTTACGATCCGGATAATGGTCTCGGTTGCGACTATAAAAGACGCGGGAACACGGCCCGCTACCGTATGCATCGCCATCCTGGTGAAGATCGACAAATTCGTAGAGAGCGCGAAAGTTGACGGGCCTAAAAAAGAATTATTTTATGTCAATTTTTTTTTTAATTAATTTAACTGTTGAAGCAAAAGTGTGTTCCGAAGAGAGTAGATTAATTATATCTACTATATATTTAAATTTTAATTTAAATTCTTAATATATCTACTATATTTAAGAAATAAATCCGTGAAACAAATAAAAAACCAAACTTTATATTATAATATAAAAATATAAATTAGAGAAATAATCTCGTTTCCTCTCTCTCTCTCTCTCTCTGCACAATAACGCGATGTCTTCAATCTCGTAAAAACACCAGATTAAGTTCGCAGATGCTAAATACGCCTTGCGTTTACGACTGCGGGGATGGATGTATATTAAGGTAATAAAAGAACCGCGCGCGCGGAAGTAAAGGGTTAATATGTGCCGTTGTCCGGTGGGGAAAGATCGTTGATGAAGATCGACGAACCCCGGTGGATTGTGGAAGAGGCGACGGGTTAGGTCTTGAAGAGAGACGTTGCAACCGTGCGGTTACCGGGATGTTATTAAACCGGCCTGAGCTTATTATAAAGCCTCGCCGTGTAGGCTTTACTTGGCGCGGAAAGGATTAACTGGACCGTGCGATGTATCCGCATTGCGCATCGTTCATCGTCGGCCGAGCACGCCGTGTCTACACGCGTGATAGACACGTGCGAGAGATTAAAAAAAAATAAATAAAAAATAGAGAAGAGAGGGCGACGACACGGCGGATCGGCACATGGCGTGATGAGCGAATGTAACGCGTGTAAAATGTGAATCGTGGTGTGTCATCGACACACGGCTCGCGGAAAACCCGATTATCAATTATTCACTGACAGAATTCGCCGATCTGGATCTTTGTCGCGTGCATGGCACTTTGAGGGATTATCGCGTGCGCGAGCAAATGGGAGAGAAAGGGGATGTTGGAGAGAGAGAGAAGAGGTAAACGCAAATTCCTGCCCGATCAACGTCGACAAAGGCCGACATAATCGGGATTTAATTAGGCATTCGGTAAAAATTAGTTTCACGAATTTTGAGCACGATATTACGCGAATATTGTGCTCAAATTTTTATTATTAACAATAACTCTTTCAATATTGCATAGACTCTCGATAAAAATCCTTTTCTCTCCCGTCACTTTTAATTATTTATCGAGGCCTCTCGAGGTCATCTGATCGAAACTCGAGTTTCTTCATGCGTGCCGTGCACAAGTAGATTTATTAAAATTATTTTTATATTCACGGAGAACAAGTCGAGAGATAAACGTAACATTTTGGAGAAGGAGAAAGGGTACGTATATAAAATTAAGCAAATGGGATGTGGAGGTTGCTGCGCGTCTCGGCATTCCTCTAAATTCCGCTATCTTCCCTTCGCAAGGGAGCAAAAAAGGAGGAATCCTTCCACTCTCATGAATAACCTATATTGTAGGTAGTGGTAGAGAGAGCGTAGAGCGCGGCGAACGAATGAAACGCGCTGCTGCGACAGATATTGCGCCCCGTATTGCTATAAAACGTTCTCGCATATTCCGCTTGTAACGCTCCGGCGGTTCGATGCAGTGTTGTAAGCAAATCGGATGAAACGCGGGATTACAATAAACGTAAGTTACGTGTATGTGTAAACTACTTTTTAAGCGTTTTAATCAAATTCGTCATCAATGCGACTTCCGATCGAGATATATTCTCTCGAGATTTTTCGATAGTCCATTAATACTTTTTTTTACGATTTGAGATAAAGAGTGAGAATTTATAGATATTTTTTAAACTTTTGGATATTCCTCGATTTGCATAGCCAGTTTCATTCGTGTATACGGAGGTATTTTTCAATTTTTTTTATTTCTCTTTCCCTGATGTGGATGAATATTTTTTGCGAAGAATATATGTTCGAAATTATTCCCGTAATAACGCAAAAAGCGAAAAAAAGAAAAGATTATAATCCTTTAGAGAGAAATCAATCCTTCGGAATATAGATACGATTAAGATATTAATAGAACTTATTAATCCAATTGCAATATTGTTTACTAGTTGGAATCCAATTAATGTTAAGGAACAAGTTACAAAAGTTATATAACTTTCAAACGGATATCAGAAGTTACAGGCAGTCTAATGAATTTAATTAAAACATGGGCTATAAAAGCGATACTTTAGCTCAAACTTTAATTTAACTCTTTATTTAATAAGATTTTTATATGTGAGAGTGTTTAGATAAATTTTCTTTTATTAATTTCAGTATCTCGCGCGTTCAATCTTTTCAACCGATAAAATATATCGGATGTAAGATATTTTAATTTCAAAAATTCAAATTTTCATTAAAAAAATACTTGCCTAAGCGCCGTCGACTCAATCATGCGCATCTCGATAGTCAGACTGCTGCCGGAGGAGACGAAGCTTTCCCCCAAAGAGCACGGACGACTCGTGTTCTGCAAAATAGCGTGATCGCAAGTTTTCGGTACTTTATCCTTGCAGTATCTCGCCAACAACGTGGTATTGCTCGCAGGACGCGCAAGAACGGTTTGAATCGGGTCACCCATCCTCTCGGCGTAACGCTGACGTTCTTTCTCACTGAAACAGACACAGTTGACTCTCTTTCGCAAGAAATACATTTTTCAAATAATTTTATAAATTATTTATTTATTTATAGATTATTTGTTAATTTTTCTAGACGCCGTTAATCGTCTTTCTTCATTTAAATAAATTTATTAGATAAATTTTATTTAAATTATTTCTATTGAATAAATTACAATTATAATTATAAACGCCATTCATTTTCTTTCTTCATTTAAATAAATTTATTCAATAGAAATAATTTAAATAAAAATCATCTAATAAATTTATTAATTAATAAATCATTTATTTATAGATTGCTTGTTATTTTTTCTAGACGCCATTCATTTTCTTTCTTCATTTAAATAAATTTATTCAATAGAAATAATTTAAATAAAATTTATTGAAAGATGAAAGATCGAAAGTTAAATTTGAAACTGATCAGGCAAGCTAGAATGACAAGAATGACTAAGAACGACAGAAAGCGAAATAATATACCAGACGACGTCGTTGCACTCCGACAACGGCATCATCTCGCCGTCCCAGACCATTAACGTCGTGGAGCAATCCTCGTCCGTGGTTGACAGACTTGCGCCCACGTGGAACTTGAGGATGGATAACCAGACGCGAAATTGCGGCTGCGGCGGTCTCGCGGCCGGTCGCCTCCAGGTACCGGGTCGCTGCTCCGGGAACTTGGGCAACGGACGTGGAGGCGTCGGGCTCGGCAGGGTGGGACCGGCGCCTCGAAGATGGTACAGGCACGTGCTGTTTCTCGGCAGTGAATGACGGGGCGACGCCAGGACGCCGCCGCCGGTGCCTCTCAACCAGAACTCGCAACGTTTGTTCTTGGCGTAGGTCGGCGATTCGGCGTCCACGAACGTGACCTGGAAGCCGACGCGCGTTCACAGAGGGTTTGCTTGCGTGCAGCCGGGTTTGCTTTCGCGTCGTCCTCTTCGAAAGGGGAGGTGGGTGGATTGCCCGAGCGAGATCGCGTGTTTGCGGAATTATCTGATACGAATGTATTCGCTGCGGTGTGTCGTTAGGAAATTTTACGGGATAATGCGAGCGTCGGTGATATCGTTGTTTCTCCTCCGCAATACGGAAGCTCGTTGAATTTTATGCGCGATCAACGAGGTGAAACGAATTCCCGAATTCTCGATTTTGCAATGAAGAAAAGGAGACGAATTTATATCCCAATTCGTAAAATAATTAGACTATTCGCGGGATGTATAATCATTTTTATTACCGTTTTCTTTTTCATTTTCTTTTTATTACCGTCGTTTGTTCCATTGATAAACAGAGAGAATTTTCTTTTAGAATTCACCCTGAAAATCATTTTCAAAAGAATTTTATAAGAGTTTCTTCGATTAATATTTATCGTAATAAGATATGAAATATATGTTCGATTAATTTTACTATGTACATATTAATATTTTTTATTATGCTAAATATTAATCAAAGAAGCTTTTATGAAATTCTACCATGCTTATCTCACGATTACCATGATTTTCAGGGTAAATTCTGAGGGAAAATGTTTGTCTCAAGGAGATTATATAACTGAAACACAAGATACGATTCATTTTCCAAAGTATTCTCCCTCGTAAAGTGTTGTCTACGTGTGTCTACATATCTAAAGTATTTAATTTTATGAGCGATTAAGAAGAATGGATAGCTTAGACGTTAATTAAGGTGGTCATTATGCAGTTTATGGCGAGAGCTCGCTCACGTACTTGCACTTCTAATTGAAATCCATGTAGGGAATGGGGCGGCGTCGGATGTAAGAAGGTGCCATAAGGGGAGGTAGTAAACTCCACGAGGATCTCCGGACCGCTGCTGATGGCCTCCGGTACGGGTTCTCCGCCGCCACAAAATTTTAGGATCACGGGCTCCCTGGTGGTGTATCCGTCATATACTGTTACATAATCCTGTAAAGGGAAATTTATATATCTATCTCGCGCGGAAGAGATAAGTGTAATTCGAGAACAAAGCGATCAAATTCCTATATCTATACATACCCAAGAACCATCTCGTCGATCTAATTTTATCATCTTAATATCTAATTCATTCAATTAATATATAATGAGAAAGTATCCTAATTAAATACAGCGTAAATCAAATTTATTGAATTCCTTATAAATCATTTATTTGAAATTAATTATGTTGATTTGATGTGAAAAAATAATTATTTGGCAGCATGGAAATAAATATTTATTAATTTAATATTTTTTTTCACTGTAATTATTAATTAGTACTACTTGTATATTACTAAATCTTTACATTATTTAAATAATTCTCAAGAAATCCTTCTATTCATTGATTAAGATATTAATATTAATGATAAATAAAATATTAAAATTAGAAAAGTTTATAATATATTGAAAGACGTAGCTCTGAAATATATTTAACAGATTTTCTATGAAGAAAGAAAATCAGAAAGCCATACAGATTTATCGTCCCGAATAAATCACCGCAAGAGAGTGATTGAATTTGTGCGGCTGCATTTAACTCGCAATCGGTTCCCTACGTATATATCGATACCAGAAATATCAATCGTGGTTTTTTTTTCGACCGGAGCGCTAAAGAGAGAAGACGAAACTTGGAAATTTTTCCGCTGACAGAAGATCGCTATGCAAAAGCATTCGCGACTACTTGGCAGACCAGTCACGTGTTGTGTCTCCCGCGACGCATCTTCTCCCTTTTCTCCGTCTCTGTCTCGAATTTATATCAGCTAATCCAATTTTCGCGGTGGCTTTACGTACCTGAACGACGTCGCAATCTTGCCAGAGACGTAGCTCCCGAGGCGGCGGCTCTGCTTGAGTAGCTGGTCGCGCTCTTACGGCTACCAATTGGCCTCGGGGCTGTTTTACGTGTATTAAAGCGTGTTTGCCCGGCGGTACTTCGTGTTGTCTCACCTACGTCATACATAAATGCAAGTGAGTCTATCCTACTCAAACTGAACTTTTCTCGCATAAAGTTTCATTATTTTCATACTTGGATACATTATGCAGCAGAGACTGTAATTACATTTTCTTAGTGACTAAAAATACAAACGTATGTTTACATCGAATGGTATCATATGGTTATATATGCTAATTATGCTAATTAAAAATGAATTTTTATCTTAAGAATTGAATAGACTCGACGGATTTTTCTGTTTAGATGTAAATTTGCATCAGATGTGAATATCTCTTTCATAATTTAAATAAATTATTTAAAAAATTGTAGATTTATTTAACATAAAATAAATTTGAAGTTTGCCTTTTACTCATCGCGATTGAGTTAACAGAATAAATACGCGTCGAATCGATCTTTATTTAGATATCGGAGACTTTACGGATGTTGAGCGTAAGTGCGCGATCAGAATGGGTTGTATCGGACTTTTCGAAATAAGATAAACTTTTAGTAGAGAAATATACCGACAGAGATTGCGAGCTTCGAAGTCGTAATCGAAGTCTATCTAGCGCAAGTCCCACGAGTGTCCGCCTGTCTATAGTACACGAAGAGGATAAATGACCGCCTCCGATTGTTGAAACGGAAGGCCGTAAATTCCGCCGAAACCTTTCACGTATTTCGTCTATCCGAGTGACTGAGCATCGAGGAGGTTGATTAGTTTCGCGGCATCGATTCGCGATGACAAATGCCAACATTATTACAACCGCCATTGGCTACTGAGCTTCATCAGAAATAATAGCTTTCGTGCAGAACGAAATTGAGTATTTATACTGGAGAAAAAGACGAAAAGTTAAATAGAGATCGAGAAAATAATAGAAAAAAGTAATGAAAAGAGTTTAAACATTTCGTCTCGTTATTTTTCTCTATTTTTCTTTTCAAATAAAATTTTTGTCGTAACAAAATCAGATAATACCTTGCCAATTCCTTTCAAAAATATTGCCGATATGTTTGCTCACGTACTATAGAATTTCGTGTTTGGCTGTCGTCCAATTTTGAATTTTCTACTGGCAAGTAAAAAATTGTACCGACCAGAAAGTCGCTCGCGTTGATTTACGTGATGAGAAGACTCGCACCTAGCGAGATGCTAAGGAAAAATAATGGCCACCGGAAGAGAATCCGTCCGAAAATTTGTTAACCGCATGCGAGGGAAAGTGAGTCATATTTTTACGACTTCCGTTGCTGCAGGTGCGTGTCTGCTTGAAACAGAAATATGAATCCGCGTCAAGATTCCGGAGAGAGGATCCCTGTCTGACTATGTCGATCGTATATCACTGCCGCGCGTCTGCTCGACAACGAGCGAATTAATTCGAGCGATGATACATTATCCTAATGATACGCCTGATGTTTCCTTAATGAGCAACCTAAGATGGAAAACGCAAAAGATGAAAACTCTTATAACCCATTTTTCTTGCACATTAATCAATAATGCTAAATATTCTTCCGCATATTATTTTTTATTCCAATTATGCGTTCTTATAGATATTCCGTAAAATCCGAATGACAAATTTATCGCATTACTTAAAGTATATGATTATATCTTTTTTTTTATACAAGCCATTATGAAAAAAGAATAACATAAAATAAAATAGAATAAAAACACATATAGATATAGGCACGTTGGGCCAATTTAGGCGAGTCTTACCGCGTAATAGCAGGTGAGATTGCGTGGATAGAGACCGGGAAAGTTGGGCGATTGCAATCTGCACTTCTTCCGGTCGCAGTCGGTGAATATACGGGAGCAATAAGTCCCGGATATTAGGTCCCCTAAGAACTGCTCCGAGCTCGGCTTCGTAGGCATCGGTGGCACGTGTTGCTCGACCATTTGCACCGGCATCGCCATCGACGTGTTCGCGTACGCGACGGACGTGCGCTCGGTCGACGCCGGCATCCCGGCGACCTGCGTTATTCCTGACCACGTGACATTGGAATTTTAATCATCGACGGCGAAAATATCGGGAAATTCTTTGTCCGCACAATTTCAATGGCCGTTCGATAACGATAGCCCGCCGTGCAATTTTGCAAATGGGACTGCTTCAAACTCGGAACAATTCCTTTGGCAGATATTCGCCCGAGAGAAGTGTATTCGAGTGTTTTATTAAACGAGGTGACAACACAGTTATACATATATATTTAGATGAATTTTTAACTTATATTGAAACTATCACAAATACAATAGATATTCAAGCTTGAAATATATTTACGTATCTTATATACTCTCTTATATGTGTCTTGATATAAAATCGTACAAACAATTGCACTTTTTATTATAAATAATAAGGAGATAGTTTTATGATAGTAACAGTAATGATATAATTATAAAGTTTTAATAAGTTACGAAAGTAAAAATTTCGTTAGATTTTTCCTCGAATAGTCTTACCACGGAAAATGTTTAAATTTGTTCCGAACTGATTTCAACCGAAATGAGTACACGAAATAAAGGCCATAGAACGTGGGACAAATGTCGAAGCCAAACTTCGAGAAACGTGCTCGAAATCTGTAAACGGGAGCTGATCACCTACCGACGAAGGATTTCCGTAACGCACCACCGCGTCGGACTTTCTGATCATCTTGTACGCCATCCTAAAGTCGAAGTTGAATCCCGTCTGATCTTTGCTGAGCCTGAGCAGCTTGAGGATGATCGAGACACTGGGTGTTTCGCTATAATAGATCGCGGGTCCCAGGACGTGCCGCACCAAAGTCCGCCGACGTCAGGACGTTGTGCCTCCGAGATCTGCAAAGATCCATCGGGACATCCCTCCGCGGTGAACGACACGAATTTGCCTAGAGTAAAACTGTCGAAGGTCAGCTGCAAGCGAAAAAAATTCTTCCATTTAAAAATAATAGACTAGAAGAGATTTGAATTTATATTCAAAGAAGAGAATATTTTATCATATTTTTATTTATTAGAAGACAAGTCTCTAGGATAGCATACACATTTTTATACCCATCTTGTCTATATTAGATTTCTACTTTTCTATATTTTTGACAAATTTTTTCAGATATCTTTTTCAAAATTTTATTTAATGACAGCGACAGTGTCGCAATTGGATGAGTGACTTTGCTGCGAAAGTTTCCTCTTTACATTGCCGATCAAATAAATTCGCATCGGCAGCCTCATCGATCATTGATCGAGCCGTCAGAAATGGATAGTTTGCACGATTTTTCACACGAAAGAGCAGTCACGCACGTACTCCCGCGTCGTGCGATTAAAATATCGACAATCCCGCTTTTTTGGCGATGATAGAAAGCGCGGTTTTGCAGCACGCAGTCATGCGAGTGCTATGATTGACGTGATAAACACCGATCAAGAAATATTTACATATATGCAATAGAATGCTCCTGCTTGAGAATATTTGAGAATCTTTCGCAACCAATGACTGGTATCAGAGTTATTTAATAACGTCAATTTTCTTCAGGGCCGGTTTTCAATAATAGTTTAAACTTCGATCTAAGTCCTTAATCTCGTGATCTCAAGTCTTTTTCTTTTTAAAGAAACTCCAGAGGAAATAGAGCAAGTCTCGCAAATTCATGTTAACTTGAATGTCAGATAATTTTACACGCTATATTCTGTTACATTTGTTTTTTTACATCCTTTTAGCGCAGTTCTTCCTCTTTTGAGAGAGAAATAAGGACAATAAACATTTCTACGTATAAACCACTGGCACGGGATTCTCGTGACCTGCGCTATGCAGATATGAGAAAGCCGGCAAATATTACCGTGTAAATAATTCGGCGGCTGAAGGCGGAAAAGAGTTTTTGTGTGTGCTCTCGAGAAAGTTTTCGCGCTCTCGGAAACTCGACGCGCGGTCAGTTTTACGCAATCGTCGGAAAATTCGCGACGTTTATTAAAAATTCCGCTTTTAATTTTTTCACAGAGAAAAGTCAAGTGGAACAAAAATCATTCCATTCGTTGCGTGCAAAATGGACGCGCAAATATATTTTTTAATATGGCGGAATATGGCGGACGTTTCTTTGCGTATATGTTTCGACTGCGTAATTTATTCGAGATTCTCTTGAAGAAAGCGCGTTTCGCTTCGAAGGATATTAATAGTTAGTTCTCTTCACGCAAAGAAAATAATTATTCTTAGGACTCGGCTTCGGGCTTCCTTAATTTACGATTCGTTAAAAACTTATTCGGAATTTAATTTGCTACATAAATCCAACGTCGTTTTGTCTTCCTTCTTCTTCACTATTTTCTGGTTTCTTTCTTAAACTTCGTTACTTCGTTAATGCATACTTTAATTAAAGTCAGATTGAGTGAAAAAGTAATTTATTGCAAATTTCCGAGACGCGTTTATTTTTTTCGTGAAGAAATTATATATATAGGTATAGTTCGTAAATTATAGTATATTTATAGTCCATTTGAAGTTCTGAAAGAGACATCGTCTCGCACTTTTCACCATTAAATAATGATACGAATATAGAATCGCTGCAATATTAATATACAAATGACAATTGAAAACGAAAAATAGTTTGAAGACTTACCTGCACGATATCACCAAAATCGTCACCTGGCGCATTAAAGGTGAGCTTGCAAATGTAAGGCACCTTATCTTCCTTCGGTCGATGCAGTTCCAGATCATACGTCTTCCCCACGTCGCCATAATACGTTTTATTGCAAGCTGCAACATAAATATTAAGATATTTTTTTCATATTTCACGTTCTCTTTTATTCTTACGTATTTATATATGTCGATACTTATTTTTACTCTCTTTTCTATTTATTCCTCAGATTATTTTTATCGAGTTTGTGAAGTGTTTATAATATCAAAGTATTCACCTTTATTGGAAATTTGCTCGACACATTCAATCACTATTATAATTGTATGCGCGTACATGTACACGTTACATGATATGTGACATCTATTTTTAACATAAAACTCGACCAAAGTATAATTTATTATATTTTCCGATCTATATACGCGTACATATGTAACTATATGTCATACACTGAAAAAAATTTATTAAATTCGAATAAATGTTTATTCAATATTGTCTTATAAATCATTTATTTGAAACTAATAATATTGGTTTGACGTGAAAAAATATTTGATATAATAAAATTCTTTTCAAATAAATAAATATTTATTTGTTTCAAATAAATTTATTAGGCAATATTGAAATAAATATTTATTAATTCAATAATTTTTTTTAGCGTGTAAATATAAGAAATACTTTCTCTCTCTCTCTCTCTCTCTGATATAGATCCCGTATATTAGTTATAATTATTTCGATAATTTTTAGAGTCCTTGTACCTTTGACCCTACATCTCGAGTGTCTTTTCTCTTGTTCAATAACAAAAGGAATACATTGTTCTACAATGGATTCCACCTTATCTTCTTGAAACCGATTTCTTACTACGGCCAACAACGTCGTCATGGCCGTCCGTAAATTTTCTTTTACGAATAGCATTTTTCAAACCCGGAAGTGCACTTCCTAGAGCCGTGAAAAATCGTATCTGTGGCTAAAAATTTATGGGAAAGAAGATGGTTCACGAGCATGCCTTTCTGTAATATTTTCATCATATTTTTTCTCCATAAAAATGCTGCAAAAAAATTTTAATTTTATTCTTCCAAGGATATAATTATATAATATTGTATAATTATATATCCTTATATATTTTTTAATATCGATTCAGTAAAACTTATGTTTTAATGGGATAAGATGTAAGCAATTATTGGAATTGCATTAACCAACTCGAATCGCTCTTTCATCTTGATTTTATACGTCACAATTCTGGTTATAAGTCATTAGCCGTCATGAGAGCTCCATTTTAGCTTTCTACAGAATTAGTATTCTTGCGAACGGCCAGTGGAATTAACTTGATTACAGAGTTTTCAATGTAATCGTTAGATTAGAGACGACAGGTTAAAATAAAACGCCCGTTCATTGTAATAATGTCCAAACATTTCCGTGGAACGTACTTTTATTTCAAATCAACGACATGAAACTAACGGTAAGAAAAACGTACATAAAAACGTTTAATTTATACGTAGAAGTCTTCCTTATTTCCGTTTGCGAATTCGCGAAATATCTTCCGCGAATGCGAATTATTCGAGATAACGTCTGTACACATAAACTGTCGAAAGAAAAACGAAAACTTTAGACAAAGCCGCGACATAATCCATAAGTATGGCATTCCCGTTCCCTCATCAACCACGAGTCGATTCCATCAAAGAGATTACGAGGGGGCGAACCCTCGCGCATCGTAGAGCATGCCGAAATAAGGAATTGATGGAAGATGGTAATGAATTATCGATGAGTCGCGTCGTTTGTTTCGTGCCAGGCATTCTGGTTCGATGTTTCGGATGAGAAACGAAGGAACGAGAGAAGCGACGACCGCGGTGCAACGCTTCCTTCTTCATTCATGTTTAATGGCATTTGCGGTGGGTCTGGAAAAACGGCGCTCAATCAAAGTTTCGTGAATATGAGCGAGAGGCCGACGAAAGGCACAACGTACGATCAACGAAGCACATGATGCTTTCGGCTGAATATTTATTTATTCAAGATTCTATGTCCAATGAATAGACAAATAATCTGTGAAATATGTCCAAGTGCACATTCACAATTCAGCGAAATGCTATTTCAGTCAATTTCACGAAGATATTTATAGCGTGTATGAAAAGCTTTTACCATTCGGAAGCAATACATTATAATTTCATATAATTTTATATGCGTGTGTTTTGAGATAAAAACACTTCAATATATAAAGAATCAAAATAATATATATATATATATATATATATCTTCTTAGAGATATTAATTAAATTTAATTTTTGACATATGTATTTAATTTTTGATATATATATATATATATATATATATAAAATACAAAAATCTCTTATAATTACAATCTAACAATTAATCTAACTTTAAAATTACTAAAGAAAAGTTCACGAAATTAACGTTCTAAAGTAATTCCCAATTTTTTAAATTACCAATGTATTTCTCAGTTTTATAAAATTTATAAATTTATATCTTCTTTTTCTTTATCTTGTAAAAACATTATTTTAAATAATGGTTGGCATGACTGACATGTACAAAATAATAACGAGAAACTGCGCATCATTCGAGCAAATTTTTTTAGTTTAACGATGAAATTATTTCGAGTAATTAAACTATAGTAAAATAAGAATTCTTTACGAAAATTTGCTTTAGCGATATACTTCCTTTAATTTTTATCGTTTTCTCGGGTAATTTGATGACATTTCTCAATGTTACCGTTCACTTTGGGAACTACTGCTCTGAACCTCAACTCGTTCACGATTTTCATCGATTAGACGACTCGGGAATGCACTCGTCGATCGAGTTGGTTTGGCTTCCCCGCGCACGTCCTAGATGGAATTACCCGTAGTTTCGGTTGATTACACACTGGACTATTGTGAGGCTTCAAGGGCTCATAATGGATGTATAGGGGTGGAAATCAAGGGTTCGCCGGATAGACGAGGGCGTCGTAGAATCAAAATGGTTGTCACATACATACACACATACACACAATATACCCGCACATACACAAACAATACGTACCATTTCCAGCCACAGGGTCATTTCTAATCGGAACACTGACTTGTGTTGATCTAATGAGTATTTCAAAGTCATGCGTTTGCCTCGGAACAATCCCTTTAACAATCGATTTTGATATGGGAGCAATGGTAATTATGTACTATATAGGAAAATTGTAGTATAATGTAATTCCTCCGAAGTTTCGAAAAACTTTGTTTGACGAAAATTTCTTCTTATCTTATATCGAACCTTGCAGGAAATATACTTTTGAAATTTTTATTTTTATTATGGAAAATTTTTAGAGATTAAGTACATCTAAATAAAAATTAATCGTTCCATCACAAATACTTTTCACTCTTTTATATATTATTAATTTAACAAATTTCATTCATTCAATGTATATATTTTTGTATACGCATATTTTGCGTAAAATACATTTTTCAATTTTGTTGATATTTTTCGAAGCTCATTTAACAAAGATCGGGAATTTCAGTTTACCGAGTTTTGAACGATTACGAAATTTATGTGTTTGTCTGACTAATGGTCGACATAAACCATTTGTTCCGTCAGCCACGTCTGGCCATGGGCTGCATTCTACTACTGTGGCATCAAGGAGCCTCTCTAGCGGAAACGTCTGACGAATGACTAGCTTCTGTCATTGCCGCGGTACATTCCGTCGAGCATCTCGCTTCGAAGCGAAGACAGATATTCTGGAAACACTGTGACTAATAACTCTATTCTTAATGAAAATTAACGCTTTACGTTGCGTTATGTCAAACGCGATTGCTTCCATCGCATGTGATCACGAATATTTCATTCTTTTTGCAGTTTACAAAATAATTATACTGCAAGAATTATATACAAATATATTATTATCTATAAACTATATTAATTTGTTAATAACAAATCACGATTTATAAAGAAAGAAAAATTGCGAAAAAAGGATTGTGCGAATGAAATATATTCCAGAGACAAGAACGACGACTTAACTGTTTCATATTTTGCCTCGCGCTGTTCATGTTCACGCAAACAGTTAACCGAGAGTAGTTCCAAAGCTAAACGTGTCCTTTGTACTGCGCAATCGAATTCGAGTTGGCAAGTAGGGAGTGCCATGCACAATTGGCGTCGAGCCAAACGCGTTTAACAATGCCTGAAAATCTGGATTCGTGAATGAATGCGTCTCCTTCCGTCAGCTACGATCCCCGTGAATTTTCCGATTGTTCCGCATCAGGTCGAGTATTGAAGAACATTAATATATATTATATATAAAACTACAACGACATCGTTGAATTTTATATTAAGAAAATATATCTATTATCAACTTTAAATTTCCAAAATTGTTGTTGCACACCAAATCTTGATCTACGATCTTAAATATATTCTGAAAAAAAAAAAAAAAAAACGAAATGATTTTATCTCGGAAAATATTTTCCACGATATACGTTCCCGAGATCGCGTCATTACGAAATTTTTGCACGAGTAACGAACAATAAAAAGAGATGCGACCTCTCGACGCGTCTCGTCTCGTCGACGAGATACGGATTTTTCGCAGCCGGCAAAAAATAGAGGCGCGCGCGTTACATACGCGAAATTCTATGACGCGTAGCTGTTGTCGGGCGACGAATTCGCACGCCGCTCCACTTGGCACCATTCGTGTAAAAGTATGAAAGTGTACAATCCCGAATAACAAGAAGAGGAGACGCGTGAGAGCGTGTTAACGCGCGCGGAACGAAATTGCAAACGAGAAAAATTAAATATGACTTGGCTAGCGCAATACTCGAAAGTATTCTGATAATTATAATATTATCTAACGTGCGTTAACGTATATAGAAAATAGCAACTTAAAAATCCCAAATAATTAAAGAAAAAGAAATAATAAATGAAATTGATGTAATAAAATCAAATCAGTTCCTTTCAGGATGATACAAATGACCGTGACATCCATATAAGACTTATATACTCCATTTCACGTGAGAATGTCCTCGTCCTGCGCATCTGGTGGTAAAGTGGAGATAAAATAAGAGTCACGTAACGCAAGCACTCGATGTAGCAAACATGTCGATACTATTCAGAGAGACAGATCATTTACAGTGTATACGGTACAAATACATATACGGAA